TTTTTTTTTTCGGATTTATAGATTGGTCTAAGATTGTGTGTCATCATATGACCTTTTTCTAATAGAATCTTTGATGAAAATAATTTCATTCCTTGAATGCCGTTCTTATACGGATCATAATAACTGAACTCTCGTGGTAGTGGTCTAAATGCTTAACGATTCATACTTTCAGCGGTGTGTATTTACTGAAATTCACAACCATACGTGCATGTTGTGTTTCTGTATGATAGCTAATAACGTCTGTTTCAAGCTACACTTGTGTGTTAGAGGGTTCTCTTCATTTCTACACCATTTACTTGTTACAAATGACAAAGCCATTCCCTTTTTCTATCAGAACTGATGGTTCTGGCCCTGCAATTTTGTTCATTTGAGGTAAGAATTACGCTGACCAATATAGAAGTTGCTTTCAGTCTAATTGTGCTTATGTTCTGCGATATATGTTTGTTCTGTTTATGATGGTTCATTAGCACCACTTAATGGTTTTCTTGTATTCGTGTTAAATGATGCTCACTTTTTAACATGGGCAAACTTTCTCCTTTGGTGGCTGTGGTGTACCAATCTTTGTCAGTCCTACCCACCCTCTATGGTTTTCAAGAGAAGATGAAATATCTAGTATCGTTCCTCCACTTTTTTTTTTTTTAATGGTTAATTCATCCACAAGATGATTTTCGCACCCATGAACGATAACTCCCACTATTGACTATTGCTAACATATCTTCTTATTATTGGTCCCCTAATCTGGTATGAAATGCTTGAAAATAGCAAGAATTCGCCAACCGGTATTCTTCCTACACCATTTTAAGACTTTGTTCACCACTCGGGAAGGACTTAGTATATGTAAAATAAGTAATAGTGGATGTTTTGAATTTGTCTTTCTTATTGAGATACATCTTGATCGAGTTTTTCTCTGCCTCATCAGTCTTTACTTTTTAAAAACTAGTTCTTTATTCATTTGGTGGCTATCTTTATTTTTATTTCATAGCAATCTCTGATCGTTCTGTATATCCTTTTTCCTAGTTGATCTTATGTTGAGAACAACAGAGCTTAAGTTTTACACCTCATTCATTTGGAAGCCCGCATACCTCACTTTGCCTTAGGTTATGAATAGAAAATGTCCTTAATTTGGTTTTTGCTTGTTTCTTTATCCAACAATTTCAGTCAGAGCATGATGGGTCAGATGTACAAGTCCACTTGAATGTACAACATCATCATGACGCAGACGTAATTCCCAATATGACAAAGTCCCCTAGGGTTAAGTACATAACCTACTATGAAGATTCTGAAAGTCTTCCAGGAAAGAGGACAGCAGTTTGGGAGCTGGATAAAGGTCCGTGGATTTTTTAACTGAAGTTGGATTCTGAGGGTTTCATGCCTAATAGTTGATTCCATATACGCAGCATTAAACAATGGATTAACACACAATTTTTTTCCCTGAACTTGACTCCTATGATGATTTCAATATTTCTGTCAAAGTTATCTGGTTAATATGTTAAAGCTGGCAAAAATTTTGCTTTCTTTTTTTCTTAAATCTTACCTGATTTCTATTGGTTTGTCGTCTTTGCCAGAGCAAATTGATTTATGAATTTAGCATCGAATTATGAACCTCATGTTTAAGTGATAGTGTACGAGTTATCTTCCGCAATATGAATGTATTCACTTCATAGCCAATGCTTGGCTTTTATAGGTAGTGTCTAAGGGCTTCATTTAGAGTTAGAAATAAACTAAATAAGCACCGTTTAGAGCAAACTTTCAGCCTATTGCATGCATCATACTCATACATACATCTGCAATCTCCCTAGTGCCAAGAGGCTACAATTTTGCTGTATTTGCTGCTGCCCAAAACTTAACTGAAAGTAATTCTAGGCATCCACAGTTTCTGCTCTTATGCAATAGAAAAATAATAATAGAAGAGCAATGCTATAGAGACCTAATTGGAGGATCTAATGATGTGGCTTCAATGCAACCATTGGATTACTTGTGAATTACAATGTTAGATGGAGCCCACTACTGATCTAATGGTCGTACTAAATAAGGTCCCCAGATTAGGTCCAAAGAGCATTTTCCATAATAGAAATTGGTAGTGAATTTGGAGGGTTTTTTCCTCAATGCAAGACATATACCTGATTTGTAGAATCAGTCCAAAATTAAATATTTATAGTGTATAATAAAATTAAGTCCTACTTTTCTTGGGCTTTTCCCCATCGTTTGCTTTCTGCACTAGTTGACAGGCCATATTCCTACTCTAGCCTATCACAGTCTCCGCTGCAGGCATGGAGTGCATTTATGGTGCCCAAACTTCACATTCATCCTACAAAAAATAAAAATAAAGAACAACGAAAAAAAGTGAAAATAGGCTTCCCCTAGAGAAGTTGTGGCGTTAGCGTGTCTTGTTGAAAATTGGCATCCTATGAAATTGATAGTTTGAACTTGGTTTTACATAAATAATCCTCCAAAAGCCTCTCTATTTTCCTCACTTTTAAGTGATAGCTAGCCAATCCTCATACATCTAGCAAAAATGTTGGTCCCCTGTGCATATTTAAGACATTCAAAGGAAGACATCCTTACCATATATTCTCTTATAATTTATCGTATATCCATGGAGACATTATAATTTATAATCCAGGACCAAAGAGATTAAAAGTAGAAAAAAGAGCAAAACATTCCAATTCTTGTTCTGCATTCAATGGTCTATATTCAATGGCAAAAGTAATCCCCTATTACTTTGCTTGCTATTTGTAGGCTTCTCACAAAAGGTCCAAATGAGGAAATAAAAGCTAGTTCAATGCATGAGACAACCACTAAATTAAACAAAACCCTAGATTAAAGAAATTGCATCGTTAGGCTTAAATAAATCTAATTATGAGTGTTGCACTCCCTCCTCACTTAGGTGCGAACTGTGACGCTTTTTTGGACAAACAGGGCATTATAGTTTCGGTCTAGTTTTGTTGCGTTTCTTGATAAGATGACAGAGGAATTTGATGATGATAGAAGCAGATGCAGTACCTGTCTATCTTTTGTACTTCCAGTTGGGATGCGGCCCCCTTAATTCTATTCTGATTCAATTGTTATGGCAACTTCTCACAGTCAGTTGGATCTGTTTCTCTGCAGCAAATCACCGGAACATTGTTAGATCCCCAGTTCTAATGCGGGAGCTGTGGCTTGAGATGTGGCATGATATTCATCCTGACAAACAATCAAAATTCGTGACAAAAGGTTGAACTGTCCACAAAATTCTTCTTTATTTTGTATTTTCAACTAGTAAATCTTTTCTGTGACAGCTACGCGTGGACCTCTGAGGGATGAGGACTGTTATTGGGATTATGGAAAAGCTCGGTGTGCATGGCCTGAGCATTGTGAATACAGGTTATGTCCTCTTCCTTTTTCAAAAAATCATTTTTTGAGTAGAACATTATGGCTGTCCGCTTCACAGCTGCATATAATGATGCAGGTATGTTTTTGGAGATGTTCACCTGGGGCAGAGCTGCAGGTTGAAAAATTCTTCAGCTGATCTTCTCTTGCATTATGTATAGATTGCAAGGTACCTTTTTCTGTTCCTTCCCAGTCATGCTTTGTATGTTTTGGAACCCATTTCTTAGTAACTCCAAGTAGATAATTAGGCCCAGGCAGCAGCTATCTCCTTTTTTTTTCTTTGGAAGATGGGGGGGGGGGGGAAGGGGCAAAGCCTTCACAAGTCAAGGAGTACCATTGAGCAAAGCCTTCACAAGACAAGGAGTACTATTGAGCCAAATTCCCATTGAGTTTGGATTAGAGTTTTAAATGATGATAAGTTGTTGAATAGAATATGACCTAGCAGGCTAGCAAGAGGAGTTGTAGAGAAAAACTTAATTCATCTCAAACTGGGAGACATGGTTGGAAATCTTCTGTGCCTCTTATGGGAGATTAAAGAAGGAAGAAAGGAAAGAACTCTCTTTAGTTTTCTGCTACATGTCAATAATTGGCAGCCGTTTAGGTTTGTATTGAATCTATTGACTGATCTTCCCCGTCTTTTCCAATGGAGCTTAGCAGGTATTTGTGGACTGATTTGCCAAGTCATCACAAGATGCCTAAGATTTATAATTACATCACTTGCTAATATAGCAAGATTTTGATGTGAGACTCCCTCTTTTTTTTTCACTTCAGCGGCCTGAAAATCTTCAAATGCATCCTGAGCTTGTGGCGCCTATATAAATTGCTTCCATTCCTGTCCTGATTTACCTGCACAGCTTGAGGTATGCAATGTAATGGTTCTTTCTTTTTTGTATAAGTTTTTTCTCCGAGGCTGTTTATGGTGATTTGTGACAAATGTATTATCACTTTGGAGCTGTGTTGCAGAAAGGTAGACGCGAACTTTTTAGAACTGGCGATGGTGGCATCAGGAGCATTGACCCCAATTTTTGTGAGTACTGTGGTGCTGTGGTGAACTACATACTACTATACAATGAGATCAAGATTTATTTGTATCATAAATAAGTCGAACAGAATTTAGGCAGTGTGTGTGATTCTCACGAAAGAATATATTTATCGTATACATGTAGCATTTGAACATACTGCCTTCATATGTCGAAGCATTTGAAATAATTCTAAATTGTTGCAACTGTACGATGAATTTTTTCAACGTATTTCTTGTCATATGGGGTTGGGCCCCCTTCTAGTAAAAACTCTTTTTTGCAGGACGAAAACCGTGATTCTAAACCTCATCCGGCCTGATTACTAGCCTGTCGACAAACATTGCTTGTGATTATAAACAGATCTCCTTCGGGGGTATCAAACAACTCTTTGTTCTATGTTTCTAAATACTGATAAAGGCTTTCTTTCTTGTCCAAATTTCATGTTTGGATTCTGTGTGCCTGTGATTGCTCTATGTCTTTCTATGTAGTACAGACCTGAATCCGCGACCAGTCAATTTGGACTGAAATCCTCTTCATTACAACTTCACTTAATGGTAGATCATCTATTATGAATTCAAATTAAATCCACTATATATAGATAGGTTTCACACTCTATCACTCATACATGGTGGTGGGTACTATTAACAAAAGGAGCATCTCTCTCTAACATTAGTAGTACTACATAGGATATTACCCTTGTGCGAGCAAGTGCAACCTTCAGTTATTGTCCCATCAAATCATAGATACTGGAATCGAGCAAGTGCAACCTTCAGTTTTTGTCCCATCAAATCATAGATACTGGAATCGTAAATACTCCTATCGTTTCACGAATCATGGTCATACCATCCAAAATTAGATGGATTTGTGATCCAAATTGCTTAAATTCTCGACCCCAAATTGTACTTCAAACCAAAATAAATATTGGCTAATCATGTGTATATGAATGTATAATTACATATAGTCTCATAATAAAGGAATCGATCTTATAGAAAATAAACTACGACCCAAAGTAATGTATCAATCAAGTCTATTCTATCGCACTACATATTGAAAGATGGTATCGTATCATATACTCATACTCGTATCACGTACCAAATCAACCCAAGATCGAAATAAACAGTCCTCTACTAAGGACTTGTCCAACCCTTGGCCATTGTTTTCGTGAGTGAATATCACAGATTCACAGGGTCTTGCTTCAGACAAGGCAGTCTCAATAATCAAGCTTCACTAAATACCACTTAACAGGAATTTTGTGCATTGAATACAACAACATAGACCAAATAACATTTTTCATCAAGAATTACGAAATATTATAGTTTCATTACTGCTGCTGCTTCCCACTCACTCCATGCAAAACCTTTGTATTGAGTATTCAAGGTGTATGGGTAAAGGTAACAGAGATCCAGATCTGTCCTAACACGCCTACAAAGCAATTAATTGTTAAATAGCAACCTAACAAACATGGGTGCAGTCCATAGAAAAAGAAATTGGGAACAAAAAAAAAAAAAAAAATAATGTTCGAAGACATGAAGAAAACACACTTGGACTAGGGAGGACTTCCTATCTGCTCTTCTTTATTTCAAATGAGTATTTCAGCTCCATATGACATCTTCTGTCATCATCTTCAAACTGCTTGAGCAAGGACCCAGAAAAAGAAAAAAAAANAAAAAAAAAAAAAAAACTAATGTTGGAAGACATGAAGAAAACACACTTGGACTAGGGAGGACTTCCTATCTGCTCTTCTTTATTTCAAATGAGTATTTCAGCTCCATATGACATCTTCTGTCATCATCTTCAAACTGCTTGAGCNTATTTCAAATGAGTATTTCAGCTCCATATGACATCTTCTGTCATCATCTTCAAACTGCTTGAGCAAGGACCCAGAAAAAGAAAAAAAAACCAAGATTAGAGAACTTTTCCAGTATACAAAAGTATAATTTGCCAAAAGAAATAAAGTTAAGCTGAATCGTTTGAAACGTGGGTAATATTAAATGCGGTAGAATAAGGTTATTTCGCTTTGGAGAATCAAAAAGACACCAAACAAGATTGAATAAGGAAGCTGTTCTAGACCACAAAAGAAAGTTATGAAGAAATAAAGTTTTTTTTTCTAACCTTAAGCTGTGATAAAGTGAAAGAAAAAGGGTAAGAAAACCAGGCATCCAAGACAGGTGAGGATGAAACATATTTCAATTTTCAAGTATCAGATTATGCGTAGTTTAGATCCAAGACAGGTGACGGGATTATGTAAAAAATTACTTCCATCCGTCGTTGTCTAGCATTGCAACAACAATAACATAAAATGCAGAAGCACATCAATCGCAGGCATGCACATGGACTTATGGTAACTGCACAAACCTTAAGCTTTGCGTTGTATATTCCTCTTGCAAGCACACCAGAAGGAGTGGTCTCCTCATCTAAGTTGTGTACATACGGTTCCCGTTGAGGAGCAAAAGTACCCAACATCCCTTTGCTTTTATCGACTGACACCCAAATCGAACCACAAAATGAACAAGAAGCAAAAAAAATTAAGAAACCAAAAATTATCATTAGATCAGGACATTTGAGTAATGAACTTGGTCTCAAGCACAAAACAAACAATTGAGGGGTGTTCAAATCAAGAAATATAAATGTACTTTGACTTCTACAAAAGCACCTTCAAATCTAGAGCTTCACCATTCAACTTTGTGTTGGGGTAAATTACACTGGTGATTCTTGATGACTTGACGTATGCACTTAGTCTCACTTTGGTCCCCCAATTCTGAATTGTGTCATTTTGGTGCTTCAAGTTCTTGATTTGTTTTCAAAAAGTTCAATTTTTAATTTCTGTTCAACATAATACAGACAAGGGTTATGTATCTTTTGATCATGACCACCTCATGTGCACTTCCATTAATTATTTGGTCGAAAATTAGCATTTAGCATTTGGACCGCTTAAAATGAATCAAGCACTTTAAGGCCCAAAAAAAAACAGTATTGGAAATTGAGGAAAGTGAAGCCTAACGCTTACTTTCGGGACAACCAGTATAGTTTCCCCCTTTATTTAATGGAGTTTTGGAAGTAATACATTCCCATCGGAATAATAACATTTCAGGGTTTCAGCAAACTCTCCGAAATTAGGACTAATTGAAACTATGTTCACCAAACTTCACGAACAGTAGGCATAAATTCAGTTTGTTTTTCCATGAAAGCAGAGAATAGGTAAACCTCTCTCTAAATAAGTTAAAAAGTCATGAAAGATATGATACAATTATTATAGAGAATGGGTGGTATACCTAGACTCACAATCCTGTCCAAGCTTTTAAAATTTATGGAATCAGTTTCAAGTTAGTATTAAATTTGCCAGATTCTCAACTACCATTAATCTACTGTTCAAAAAATAAAAAAGACTACCATTAATCTGTCCAATATGATCCTAAATGAGAATAAAACAGATTCCAAACCTTGGATGCCTCCCTTCCAAACTGTATTAGAGTAGGCCAGGCCGGAGACAATGTTGTGCAGAACAGTGAATGCTAACTTAAGCTGATACCGAGACCCCTCCCTGAGAGTAAAAAGGAGAAGACCACTTTCACTTTCATCAACAGGTAAGGGAGTATTTATCTCCCCAATGTCATCAGATATGATTCCTATGGAGTGGAATTTAACTTCTGGCTCCATTTGTCCTAACACAAATGATAACATATATATCAATTCAACAAATTGAAATGTGGAACGAAAGAGTAACGTGGGAATAATCCTCCTGAAGCTAACCATTTAAATCGCTTTCGACACAACCAAGGAGCTTCTCTTTCCACCTCCTTAAGCTCTCATCATCCTGAAATGCATAATTAAACAGTGCAATAATATTGTGGAGATCCCAATCACACCAATGAATAATGCTATATCAGTTCATTTATAAGAGCATTTCTGATGCCCCATGGAAATGGAACCATTCCCACTTTGGTTCCATTAAAATGATTGCATAAATCCCCTCTGTATACATGTACACATCACCAAAAATTNGAGCATTTCTGATGCCCCATGGAAATGGAACCATTCCCACTTTGGTTCCATTAAAATGATTGCATAAATCCCCTCTGTATACATGTACACATCACCAAAAATTTAGTACTTCACCACCATCAAATACAGCATTTTAACTTGGTGAAATACTACAACATAATACAGTGCATTGCNTTTAGTACTTCACCACCATCAAATACAGCATTTTAACTTGGTGAAATACTACAACAGATAATACAGTGCATTGCCATGGAAGTTGAAAACACCACTTTACTAATATAAATGAAGCTATAATCTTAAATATGCAGTTTACCTTTAAACCCCAAAGTGTCAGCAAGACACCAAAGAAATTTGTCTGATTAAAATTTGAGTTTGGACAAATTACATTGCCTGATGGACGAACCCAAATCACTCATAGCAGAAATATTAAAAACAAATGAAGGATCTACCAATTTGGGTACTTTATATCATTGATCATTCTGTAAAGAATGATATCAAAAATAGAAACCCTAGAGCAGAGCAGAAGGAGAGATAGGGGAAGCCATGAGAGACAGAGAGAGAGATATTTACCCAAAAAAAAAAACTCGAAAAAGAACAAAGAAACACATTCAAATATCACATCCATACACACAGAAGAAGAATGGTATATGAGGCAGTAGCAAAAACCTTGTCTTTCTCAATCTGATCTTTGAGAGGAACAAGAGGGCTAGGAACAAAATTACCAAAAACTTCAGTACCATTGTTGTCATCATCATCACGATCTTCAGTAACAGCTTCATCGTCAAAACCCTCCCCTGGCTTTTCAGTCACTTCTACTTCTTTCTTCTCTTCTTGTGTCTCTTCACCACCACCACAACCTGAAGAAAACCCAGAAGAGGGTCCTGCCTCCGCTCCCTTGCCACCCTCCATCTCTCTCTCTCTCAATTCGACACCACACCCGCACCAAGAACTTCAGTCAAGAAAACCCGCTGTCTCTCTCTCCACCTATATATAGCAGCACAGACATTGTTTGGTGTTGTTTGGTTGTCTTTTGTCTTTATCTCTCTCTCTCTCTCTCTCTCTCTGAACTGTGTTGGCGTGCTGGTCAGTGAGTGGATAATTGCCTTGGTACATACTACTTTTCATACCAAAAGAGAGAAGAGTGCGGAACAGATTTTGATATCTCCAAGTGTGATTTTGCAAAGGGTCCCTCCGTAAAAGATTACGGCAATTTTTTTTGGGTAACAAAGATTGTTGGAATTTATTCCAAATATTTGTGATTTTTAATCTTCCATCAAAACAAGTTCTTTTAGTCGAACGTTCTCGACCCCGATCTAAAAAATTCGTTTTAAATCAAATTTAAAAAATTATTTAAATTTAAAATGAGTCTAAAATAAGTTAATTTCAAATATTTACATATAAACTATTTAAGTTTGTCGAGTCTGAACCAAGTCTGTTGGGCTCGTTTAAAAAATGAGCCGAGCCTGAACGAATTGAAACCCAAGCTGAACTCAATTCGATTAACAACTCTATCTGTACATATGTAGTTCAATGACCAAAAGAAAAAAATTACATACATAGTCTTTTTTATTTAAAATTTTTGTTGTGTTTAAGTTTGTTGATTTCTTTCGAGTTTAATCGAATATAAAAGTGTACATAAGTACGTATTGAAGAGAATCGTTAATTACTAAGATTTGAGGACATCACTTTTACTATGTATGCAGTGATTCAAAATGTTTTTGTTTTGATGTCGAAAATACTCTTTTCTTTTACCTTTTTTTATTAAAAAAAAAATCTATTATGACTATTAACTACTAGATAGGATACTCGAACAAATAACATTCATTCCTCTCGAGATAGTGTTAATCATTTTGACTAGACCCGAAAATCTAGTTTGCTTTTACTGTGATGCCATGATTAAAGGGATATGAAACTAGAGATTTGAATCTTCTTTAATATAACCTTGTCGAGAACATATCATTTGTGATCAATTTATGTAAAGTCTATTATGAAAGTGAATAGTCCACTTGTACATGGTGAGTGAGATAATTTTTTTTTTTTTTTAAAGGTATACATTATAAAGTACTAGGGATAACTCGTGTCTGAAAGTACTGTGCAATGTAAATAATTTTGAGAGGGATATTAGTAGATGTTGAATGAGTTTATTTGAAACCATCAGATGGATTTATTGAAACCTGTCACATTTTATATTATAAATTTGAATCTCAAAACACATTTAGCTACTACATGATTTTATTTTTCTGGTATAATAAGCGCAACTCTAACCCTCGCTTCATCTAAATCATTTCCAATTTTTTCATATGCCTCGTCAAATAAAAGCATTCACATGATAATAATAAGTGGCATAATGATGCAATATTTGCTTATCAATTCATGCATGCAATGTAAGGCATTGATGAAATGGCATTAAACTCAATTCAAAGTGTATATAGTATTATCATAAATGAATCTAAATATATGATTACATTCACATGGGATCAAGGATCAAAAATTCATTTCGAATTTTAAGAGAATCAAAATGAAACAACGATAAGATCGAAATTCTAATGTTTTTAAGGTGTTTCAGAATATTTCGAGCTGTTTTGAGATGTTTCGACACGTTTTCACCATTGTTTTCAGAATATTTTAAAATATTTCGGTATATTTCAACAAATATTTCTTAATATTTTCAAAATAAACTCTCAAAATTTATATTCGTTTCCATGTTATTTTCGAAATGGTTCTGAAACATCTCCAAAATATTGCTAAAATATTTTTGTTTCTTATCTGGTAGAAACAATACACCAAAACAAAAATTTTAATCCTTAGATGGAATAGATTTTAATGCAAAAAGAATTTGGAAAAGGTGCACCAATGAAATATGAATCTTTTTCCAAAATATTATAATTTTTTTTTCAATTTACCATGATTTTTAACTATATAAATTTTTTTATGAAAGCGTTATTTGAATCACATATTTCCTTAGAAAAAAAATTTGCAAAATAAATTATTAGAAGTTGTCTATTTTTTTTTATTTTTTTTTTTGAGAAGATAGAAGTTGTCTATTGAAAGTGTGATTTGCAAATCCATTTTAATATATACTACTAATAAAAGTACCTTGAGATAAAAATTTCTTAATTTCTATTTTATCCTTATAAAAGATTGTAAATATCACTTTATCCTTTCACAATTAAATATCAAAATTATCATCATATCCTTATATCTTTAAATCTTCAAATTATCTATATCATATCTTTTAATTATTTATTCTTTATTTATAAATATCACTTTCTATAAAAAAAAATTGATTGACTATATTATCCTTAAAATATATATATATTCATTATATNATATATATATATATATATATATATATATATATATATTCATTATTTTTTCAATAAAGTGTTCAAAAAATTTTCAAAAACTACATTAATGTAATATTATTCATATCATATGCAAAGATAACATTATCGCTACATATATGTATTTTATATTTCATCGAAAAGTTTAACTCTTTTATTTCTAATATATTTTTTTTAAAATTAATTTATGTTATATCAGTATAATTCTTTTGNATCGCTACATATATGTATTTTATATTTCATCGAAAAGTTTAACTTTTTTATTTCTAATATATATTTTTTTAAATTAATTTATGTTACATCAGTATAATTCTTTTGTCACAATAATCTTTTTAAGTTGTACTAAGATTTTATGTAAAAATAGATATGGTTGTGTATTTTAAAGTAAAACTTGAATTTTTTAAAATTTTAATATACTTGATAATATATATTATAGATTATTAAATCTTATCCTAATTAGTCTAACTAATTATTAATTAGAGTAAGGTTCCAATGTGATTAGTATATTGATAATTACTTTTTATTTTATTCAAGAAATTATAAGTGGAATCCTAATCAAATGAATTGTAAAAAATTTAATTTCTCAAACATCACTAAAAAATCAATATCCATCACCAAATTTTTTAAAAAATAAACTTTAACTATTTCTTTTTTTTTTTTTTGTATAATTAGAACAAAGAATTTTGAAAACATATATGGCTCGTTTGGTAGACGTATTATGAGGGGATTAAATATTAGATTGTACTATTTTTTATTTAATCGGGTCTAATACTTTATTTGATAAACAAATTTGATACCGTATTAATTTCAAAAACTTGTACTTATCATATACTCATAGTATATTTTTTATACGATAAACCTGAATTATAGAAGTGTTTTAATACCTCTAAAAGATGTGGTATTATAATCCAACTCAAATGTATTATTCTACACATTTACTATTATAACCCCCCAAGTGATAAATTCAAATTGTCATCAATGTAAAAAATACTGATTGTGAGTATTTTTGTTAATTCAAAATTAATACGATGAAATAATTCTCTAATCAAATATCCGATTGGATTAAATAATTATTATTCAACGCTCATATTGTGTATTGTCAAACAGTAGATAAATTTACTCATTATTCTAATACTATATTTAATCTTGTCTTTAATTCATCTGTATTGTATTATACTATATTATTTTATCTAATTCATCTAGTTTTAATACCACCACCAAACGAGCCCATAAAGTTTTCATACTCGTATAATAGAATGAGCGGNTAATTCATCTGTATTGTATTATACTATATTATTTTATCTAATTCATCTAGTTTTAATACCACCACCAAACGAGCCCATAAAGTTTTCATACTCGTATAATAGAATGAGCGGTGAAAAATTAAACTTCGTAAATTTGAGATAATATTTAATTTAAATATACATATACATAATATATTTTATTAATTTTTGTATAAAAAAATTATTCACGTGCAACACATGTGGTACATTGTTAGTACTAAAAAATGGGAGTTTAGAATTGTTGTTCCTAAGCATTAAAATTGAGACAACACTATGAGGTAAAAGAAAGGGGGTGCTAATTCAAATTTGGGAGAATTACACTCAAACTCCTGAGATTTGTCACTTAATCACTCAAATCCCATGATATTTGAAGTATTGCACACAAACCAACTAAAGTTTGTATGCGCGTAACACTTAGACCCCNATGAGGTAAAAGAAAGGGGGTGCTAATTCAAATTTGGGAGAATTACACTCAAACTCCTGAGATTTGTCACTTAATCACTCAAATTCCATGATATTTGAAGTATTGCACACAAACCAACTAAAGTTTGTATGCGCGTAACACTTAGACCCCTGCTGTAAATATATCCGTTAATAAATTATACCTAGACCCATTAAAGTTTATAAACATATATTACTTAAACGACCAAATTAAAATATCAAATTATCTCAATTGAAGCTAAAAGATATTGTGTTTATTACAACTTGACCCTCNCCCTGCTGTAAATATATCCGTTAATAAATTATACCTAGACCCATTAAAGTTTATAAACATATATTACTTAAACGACCAAATTAAAATATCAAATTATCCCAATTGAAGCTAAAAGATATTGTGTTTAGTACAATTTGACCCCCTGTTTAATTTTTTAATTTTAGTAATTTTATTCTTATAGATATTATAATTGTATACTAACAAGGGGTCTAAGTAATATATGTTTACAAAATTCAGGGAGTTTGAATGTAATTTATTAATGAATATATTTATAACAGGGTCTAAGTATTACGTGCGTACAAACTTTAGGGGGTCTAAGTGTAATACTTCAAATATCAGGGATTTTAAGTGATTAAGTGACAAACTTCAAGAGATATAAGTATAATTCTCCCTTCAAATTTCTAAAAGATTTGTGTTGTGGGGGGTTGGGTTGGGTTGGGTTGGGTTGGGGGGGAGTATTACTGTCACAATCTACTCAAACATTAATCGTGTCTTGAGTCATAACCGGTGACCCTCCCCGTAATTTTTGGTTTTTATATATATATATATATATATATAATTTAAATTTAATTTTTTAAATTTGACTAGTTATAACTCATACCTAAAGATACGATAGAACATAAAATTAAAATCTCAAAAAATTGATCTCACTATATTAAATAATATTTTTTCTTCATTTATTTGATTATATCATTCAAAATCTATTTTTCCTCACTATTGTCTTAAAAAAATTGACAAAATTTTCTAAAAATATGTAATTTGATAAAAAAAAATTTAACATATATATATTATCGTGTA